TCTGAGTCGCCATGATATGCTTGCGTGGGTCAATGACTCCCTGCACCTCAACTATACCAAGATCGAACAGCTCTGCTCAGGTTGGAGGCTGGGAACGGGGAAGGAGGGTGCGGAGGGGAGGGCAGGGAAGGCGGGAGGCAGAACAGCCTCAGCAGACATTGAGGATTAAGGAGATTAAGGAGACCTGCAGAGCCGTCAACCAGCCAAAGTTCTGGAATTAAAGGAAGGAAATGGGGGGGGTGCCTCCATGGGATGGAAAAAGTCCAAAGCGAAGAGCGGCAGAAGTACAGTGCAGGGCTGCAGGAGAGGCAAGCAGTGAACCAGAGGTCACCAGCACCAGGTCCAGCCCAGCTACTTAGGAGGTCCCAGTCTCAGCTTTTCCTGTAGTGCAACCCTGGGCAAGTCACCACTCCTCTCTAGGTCTCAGTTTTCCGGTCCATAAATGGAGATGACATCAGCTGTATAAGTAGGGTTGCTGTTAGGACTGAATGTCATACATGCAGTGTTTGATACAGTGCATGCATGCTAACTCGATTCAGTCATGTCCTACTCTTCGCAACACTGTGGACTGTAGCCCGCCAGGCTCCTCTGTCCATGGGATTTTCCAGGCAAGAATACTTGAGTGGGTTGCCATGCCCTCTTTCCAGGGGATCTTTCCAACCCAGGGATCAAACCTGCATCTCCTGCAGCTCTTGCACTGCAGGCGGATTCCTTAACCCCTGAACCACCAGGGGAAGCCCGTGTTTGATATGGTGCTGGTACCTCATTGTATCATTATATAGTAATTGCTCCCATTCTTGGGAATTCTGGCTGTGCCTATCCTGCAAGTATTAGAGAAGGAAATGGCAACCCACTCCAGTCTTCTTGCCTGGAGAATTCCATGGACAGAGGAGCTTGGTGGGCTGCACTCCATAGGGTCACAAAGAGTTGGACATGACTAAGTGACTTTCACTTCACTATTCTGCAAGTATGACTGGCCCTGGCCCCAAAGAAGGAGAAGAGGAGATGGGGAGGTTTGGGGGAGTAGCCCCAGTGGGCCCAGGAAAGTGGAAGCAAGCTGCCCATGTTTCTCTGCAGGGGCAGCCTACTGCCAGTTCATGGACATGCTCTTCCCTGGCTGTGTGCACTTGAGGAAGGTGAAGTTCCAGGCCAAGCTAGAGCATGAATACATCCACAACTTCAAGGTGCTGCAAGCAGCTTTCAAGAAGATGGGTGTTGACAAAGTAGGTGCCTGCGCTCTGAGGGGCCCCCAAGGAGCTCTGTGACCCCAGGGAAGAAGATGGCCCGCAGCAGGGGCCACTGGGGTCCTTCCAGCTCTGATGCCACTCTCCACCCACTGCCTCTCCAGGGGGCATGCTCCCCCAGCTCAAGGCTCAGTGGTAAACCTCACAACATTTGACACCCCAACCTGACCACATTCCCATCCCTTCCTCCTCTCTGGACCCTACACTTGAGCCTCTCAGTGTACTGCTCCTGTTAAGTTCCTACTCTGTAGGGCCCAAGAAAAGTCTCTTGGCTCACCGCTGCCTTGATGACCCAGGATCCCGGTTCCAGCAACCCCCACCCCACATGCAGGGAGCAGCACCAAGGGACATCTCCCCACGCACTTCCTCCTGTGCCCGGAGGAAAGGGCTGTCTCTGGACCCCAGGCCAGGGGCTCTGGAGCCTCCCCATCGGCTCTGTCAGCACGGGGCGGGGCGGGGTGGGGGGCAGAGAAGGTGGGGCCACTGCAGCCCCGGAGCTGGCCTTCCTGACAGCAGCGGCCCTCCCTCAAAGGACGGCAGCTGTGCAGCAGCCGGAGGTTAAAGTTCTCTGCTTCTGTGGTCTATTTCAGATCATTCCTGTAGAGAAATTAGTGAAAGGAAAATTCCAAGATAATTTTGAGTTTATTCAGTGGTTTAAGAAATTCTTTGACGCAAACTATGATGGAAAGGATTACAACCCTCTGCTGGCGCGGCAGGGCCAGGACGTAGCACCACCTCCTAACCCAGGTGATCAGATCTTCAACAAATCCAAGAAACTCATTGGCACAGCAGGTAACGTGCCCGAGCTGGGGAGAGGGTGTGGGGGGCCGGGCCGGCGGGGCTGTACAGCCAGGAGCGCCCCCGGGCCACTGGCCCGCCCGGCCCCCGCCCGCCTAAAGGAGACTGTTATCACGGAGTTCAGATGACGCCGCCTGCTGCCCACTTAGACCAGGGGGAGTCGCAGTGGGAGGAGAGCCCCTGGTGCCAGCCCAGGTGGCCGCTGGTGTGGGAGGCCCGAGCCACTTCCTCCTGCCGCCCAAGCTAACTCGCTGACCTTGAGGTGACGGGGCAGCCCATGGCACAGTTCATGTGTCCAGGTCATCCCGGCCAAGGGCCTGGGGCCGGCACCAAAACTCCTCCTGCCCTCTGCCCACCTGATTCCCCGGGGATGGGAGTTTGCCCAGCTGGACCAAATCTTCCCACGTTTCCAGAATCTCACAGCCCCAAGTCCTCAAGAGACAATCTCTGGAAATGAGGCTTTGTCTGGGTTCTAGAAGAGAAGGGAGAAAAGCCACAGGGCCTCAGGGAGAGGATTGGCCAGGGAAGGGGAGCAGCCCCCCCGCGTCTGAACCCGTCATAGCAGAGCGGCTCCTCCGTGTGCGCTGCCGCCCCCTGGGCCTGCCCCCACTCTCCTGCTTGCTTTGCATTAGAAGCTCTGTCCTGGGAGCTGCCTTTAGCTGGAAAATAAGTGGCCAGAGCATGACGGCGTGTGGGGGAGGAGCTGGGGCGCCCGAGTCAGGCCCAGCAGAGGGCACCAAGCCCGTACCAAGGCCCAGGCCGCCCACAGGGGCAGGGGAAGGCTTCTGTGGTCTCCTGCAGTCTGGAGATTCTGAAGTCACCCCCAGGGAGGGTGGCTGTGGGCTGGGGCTTCTGTTAGGAAAGACCCAGCAAGAGCCAGACTTGAGGCCCTGTGCCCGCTGCTTTTCCTCAGGCCCCAGCTGTCAGCACAAGAGGGCCCTCACCCCCTCCAGCCCCACTCCCCAAATTCCCAGTCCCAGATCCCCTCCCCTCCCCCTCAGTCCAGCTCTCCTCCCTCCCCACACCTTACACTTTCTTTAGCTTCTGTCATCCCTGCTCTCCCAGGCTTGCCAGAGGGCTGCCCAGCTGCTGTGGTGTCGTGTGTGGCCGTGGCTCAAGGCCTAGGTGTAGAGTGGGAGAGGAGGGGAGGGCAAGAGTGCCTGCCTTTCGCATGGGCCTGCCCCGCCATTACACCAGGCTGTCTCGTGCCACGTCTGTGGGCTGTGGGTTCACACAGCCCCATCTGACTTTCCTCCTCTGGACAGTTCCACAGAGGACATCCCCCACAGGCCCCAAAAATATGCAGACCTCCGGCCGGCTGAGCAATGTGGCTCCCCCCTGTATCCTCCGGAAGAATCCTCCGTCAGCCCGAAATGGTGGCCACGAGACCGATGCCCAGATTCTTGAGCTCAACCAGCAGGTGAGTGGGGTGCACATGGGCAGCTGAGAAAGCCAGGTCCCTGGGGCATCAGGGAGGGAAGGGAGGCTGACGCCAGGGTCTCTGCCTGAACACCACTTTCTCCCCCACCCGAGCAGCTACTGGATTTGAAGCTAACGGTGGATGGACTGGAGAAGGAACGTGACTTCTACTTCAGCAAACTTCGAGACATTGAGCTCATCTGCCAGGAACACGAAAGTGAGAACAGCCCTGTCATCTCGGGCATCATTGGCATCCTCTACGCCACCGAGGTAAGTCCTGCCGGGCACCTGATGGGCCTCCCCCATTCCCACCAGACCCTGAGACCAGAAGGGGCCTTGGAGAGCACGGGCCAGTGAAGGCAGCCGGCTGAAGGCACCAGCCCAAGGTCCCACAGAGCATGTGCTGCAGCAGGGGGCCGGAACCCAGGCCGGCTCCAAGCCACCTGCAGGAGTCTGCAGTTCGGCCTGCCTGCCTGGCTCAGCATCTCTCTCCCTTCTACCCTCCAGGAAGGATTTGCACCCCCTGAGGATGATGAGATTGAGGAACACCAACAGGAAGACCAGGACGAGTACTAAGGGCGGCCCCAGCCCTGGCTGACTGCAAGACTTCCATGCCTCCCCACCCCGCTCCCACCCCCACATTATACTCCTTTCCTGACAGCCAGTCGGCCGGTGCTTTATGTCAGTGCCGCGGCATTGGGGAGCCTGGCGAGCAGGGCTTGGGGGGACGGGGCAGGTGAGCAGGCACAGGCCCAGTGGGCGGGACCCCTGCCCACTCCCCACTCCCCACCCCTATTTATTTCCGTTGTCTCTATGCTGTGTCGGCCAACACTCCCCCAGGGTGCCGCAGCCACCCGCCCCAGCCAGCCACCCGCTCCCCTGACAGCCAGCAGCTGTATATTTGACAAAGTCATTGGTATATTTTTACTTACTGGATTTTCCTTGCACTTTACCTGTTCTTTTCCCAGGGCTGGCAGCACGGGCTCCAGGGCAGCGTGCCTGGCTTGGCTTCCCTTCCCCCGTTGCCAGGGCCGTGACTGAACTCACCGATTCTTATTTATTTTGTCTTTTGACTTCCCAGTAGTTGAGGGAAAGGCTGATGTCAGGAGCGGGATGGGGGACTGAGGAGGGGGTATCTAAGGCCCTGGTGGTCAGGGAGAGGGAGGGGAGCATGTGAGGGATGAAAACAACCTCCTGGCACCAGGCTGACCCACCCTTGGCCCCCTGCCCCCAGCACCACAGCCCGGCACTGCCCTGAGGCTCCCAGCCACTCCCCTGCAGCTTGGTTCATACCACACAGACTCTGCCCGGACCTCCTGTACGTCTGCCTTTTCTCTGCCCGCCTCCCTGTCCCCAGCCCTTCGGGCCACCCAGCCTGCATATGTGTTCACTTTTATTTAAATAAACTTGTGTGGTAAAAGTCCATACTATGTCTCCCTCAACTGAGTCACAGCCTGGGTCTCAGTGCTTTTCTCTGAGCAACTCCCTCCCCAGAGGTGATATCCATGGGGCACAGCACCACTGCCATCCTCCATCAGGCCCAGAAAGCATCACTGGCTTAGCCTCAGAGCCCAGCTCTGACCCAGCCCCCATCTCCCAACGCTGGTACCAGGGCCCTAAGGGAAGGCACGGAGGCCTGAACTCCCACTCCCTGAAGAGGAACAGAATTCAGGACCATGGCTGTGAGAGTGGGCAACCTAGTCAAGCAGCTGTGGGGTGGCAGGGGGGCCTGGCTGAGAGGTGCCTTGTTTCTGCCCCTTTGGGCCAGTATGACTGCATACTGTCTGCCACCCTTGTCAAAGTCCACACACCCAACATCAGTGATCCATATGGGGACAAGGGCTCACATGATGGAGCTGAGTGGGTTACAAAGAGCAAGGGCTCTAAGCACTGAAGCCCAGGAGGAAAGCAGTGTCCAAGGGGTTCCTTCCACAGAACAGGCTCTCGTGGGAGCCAGGAGCTGGAAACTGTCATATCATGTTTGCACAGCCCTGCATTCCCGGTGCATGCCAGCCAAGAGCCATGATAACCAGTGTCCTGAAGGTCCAACAGGGACCAAGGGCACTTAGCTGAATGTGGGTACCAGGCCCGTTTAAACAGAGCCTTGGTTGCCCTTTAGAACAGCCCCTTGTTTACAGGGGAAAGGACTGAGACCTACATGTGACATGATTTGCTCAAGATGGTAAAAACTTGGGCTAGAATTGAGACCTCCTGACTCACTGTTCTGTGCTCATCCCCAAAGACCACACAGGTGTGACTTCCAGAACTGTCCTCTAGCTTCTGACCAGCCTTGGTAGGTGTTCTTCACCATCCTGAGTGTGCCCAAGACACTGCTGGGATGTTGTTTCTTCCATGGCCCTGCTCCAAGACCCTCCTGCCAGACCACCAGCATTTCTCCAGGGACTCCAGTTAGAAACCTGAAATAGGCAAACCATGTCTGTTCATTCCTCATTCACTTCACCTTCTCCATTTGACTCCCACTCCCACATACAGAGACTTCTGAATTTATTTTTCTTATTCCCCTGTTTTTCTCCTCCAAGTTCCTAGCCTGCTTTTATTTCTTTATGATTAAAATTATGATTTTATCTTAGTGATTTTTAATTCTTACCATTTTTAATTCTTCTGCCTAATTTTAAAGGCTATTTCAGGTAGATACAGTAAAAGGAGAAGGTAGTTTCTCTGTGATGCCCAGTGTTCATCTTCAGGCTGGGACCTCACCCTGATGGTTAAGTGGGTGTGGTGGGCAGAATAATGCTTCCCTCCAAAGATGTCCACATTATAATCCCCAGAACCTGTGGATATGTTAGGTTATTAATACATGGCAAAGGGGAATTAACATGCAGATGGAATTAAATCACTAATCTGCTGATTTTAAAATAAAGAGGGTATCCTGGATTATCCAGATGGGTCCAGTTTAATTGCCAAGAGTCCATAAAATTGGGATGGGCGGGGCAAGAGATCAGAGTGATGCAATATGAGGAGGACTTGACCCATCACTGCTGGCTTTGAGGATGGAAGGGAGATATGAGCGAAGGAATTTGGTCAGCCTCCAGAGGCTGGGAGAGGTAAGGAAACAGGTTCTCTCCTAGAGTCTCCAGAAGGGACCACTGCCCTATAGATACCATATATATTTTACCCCAGTGAGACCCTGACAGACTTTCGCCTTCTAGAGCTATGAGACAAGAAGTTTGTGTTGTGTTAAGCCATTAAGTTTGTGGCGATTTTTTATAGCAGCAATAGGAAACCAATACAGTAGGTCAACCTGCTTCAATGAGCTCACTGTTCTTGTCCCCACACCAGACACCCACCCATCCTCTTTGACCCAGTCTTTTTTAACTTTTTAAAATTTTGTATTGGGGTATAGCCAATTAACAATGTTGTGATAGTTTCAGGTGAACACTGAAGAAACTCAGCCATACATATACATGTATCCATTCTCCCCCAAACTCTCCTCCCATTCAGGCTGCCACATAACATTGAGCAGAGTTCCATGTGCTATACAGCAGCTTCTTGTTGGTTATCCATTTTAAATATAGCAGTGTGTACATGTCCATCCCAAACTTGACCCAGTCTTTTGATTCTTCCCTCTTTCCCCATGGGTACCTGCCCAAGCCCACCCTTCATGGCTAGTGTCTAAGGTTGCTCTTTGAAGACCTAGAGTCAAGGATGTAAAGCCACTGCCTCCTCCCCAAACTCTGGAACATTTAAGACGGTGAATTACAAATTTCTGCTTCGTCTGTCTCCCACACAGGTTTCTCGAGTTCCTCTCAAGCAATTGAGGTGTGTCCTCTAGCTCCCACCTACCACTGTGCTAAGTGCTTATTAGGTAGAGAAAGGGCTTAGGAAATGCTACTGGATAAGTAAGTGAATGACTTCTATCCCCTAGGTGCCAAGGTACAATAGATGACCTGCTGGACTATTCTAAGGAAATAAAGCCCTTCCCCACCCTTCTCTATATTTCTACCATGGAACACCCCCTTCTTTGCCTCTATGGAAAGCCCTTTCTGTTTCTCTTTCAAAATCAGTGTCGCTTTTGTGACCATACATGTAACACAGAAGAGGTAGAACAAAGAGAAGACAGTGTCTGAGGAGAGCTAAACCAATTATGTGAAAAAAAATGTATTAATGATCATCTCAAACATAGTCCTGGGCAAAAGCACTTCATTTCAGACCCTTTGACCTGAGGCAAAGTCAGCGATGGTCAGGCCTGCAGGGGCTGGAGGGCAGGCAGAAGGAAGCAGCAAGAGGTGGTTATCTCCTACTTTCTGCCTCCAGCCCACCCCATCCTTTACCTGTCCCCACTTACCTTTCCAAAAGTAGGTATGCCATTTTCCTACTGGCTTCCCACGATCTGCAGGATGAAGTCAAAATTTAACAGGCAAAGACCTTGGTATATGGGCTCAGGTCCCTTTCCAACCACAAAACTTCCAAAATCCACGAAGCACTGTCACATTGAACTACTTCCAGTCTCCCAGACTTGCCCCGCTGTGTCCCACCTTTGTAGGCCTTTGCTTATACAAGTTCACACATCCGGCCTGTTCTCTCCACTTGCCCTAATCCCCAACCAATGACTATTTGCCCATTCCTCAGGACACATTTCCAGTGTCATCTCCTTTAGGAAGCCTTCTCTAATCTCCTTCCTAAAGGAATTCATCACTCCCTAAACTATTCATCCTGTGGGAAGTTGAACTCTAGTTCTTACTATAAAGGCTTGCCTGGCCTGTTCCTCAGTATGGCAGGTATGAATCTCATAGTCAAATGTGGGAGTGTGCATGAAATAGTGAGCTTCCCATGTGGTACAGTGGTAAAAAGAACCATCCTGTCAATGCAGGAGACTTAAGAGATGCAGGTTTGATCCCTGGGTTGGGAAGATCTCCTGGAGGAGGGCAATTCACTCCAGTATTCTTGCCTGGAGAATCCCATGGACAGAGGAACCTGGCAGGTTACAGTCCATAGGGTCACATGAAGTCGAATAGGACTGAAAAAAATTGGTATGGCAGGGCATATGAAATAGCACATTTCCTTAGCCATGATAAATCACTTCTAGTTCACCTTCACTCATACTCCCCTGCCGGGATGCTTCCAGTTTTGAGGTCTCAAACGATACAACAAGCATGGCCCGAGGGACCTCCAGAGAGAGGGGATGTCTGAGCAGGTCACCTGCTTAAGTGGTTCCTCAGGTCTTCCATTCTTGATCGCTTCCCTGCCACACCTGGGACTTGGGCTTGACTTCTGCGGAGGGAGTCAGAGCCTTTTCTTTCCCACTTGCCTGCAAGGGGAAACGCAGCGCTGGCTGTCCCAGGGCCACAGACTTTTCTCTGCCTCCTTTGGAAGGACTCTCAGCTCTCCACTTCCTGCCCCACCCCACCCCAAACACTGCCTCAAGGCGGGAATCCTCAAGCTCCATCACCCTTCCTTGTTCCTTCACAATAGCTTTTTTTTTTTTTTTTTTTTTTTTTATAGCTCGTTAAACTCAAAGTTTAATCATTAGCAACAGAAAAACTAGCACTTTCCTGGAAGGAAGGGAGCATTTTATCTACAAACTCTCCCAGGAGCTGAGAATTGTTATTTTCATTCCGTCCTTCTTGCACAGCTAGAACGGAAAGAAAACCAGAAACAGTTAAATTTTTACCAAGTCACCCAATACTTCCACGTTCAGTTCAATTCAGTCGCTCAGTCGAGTCCGACTCTTTGCGACCCCATGAACCGCAGCACGCCAGGCCCCCCTGTCCATCACCAACTCCCGGAGTTCACCCAAACTCATGTCCATTGAGTCGGTGATGCCATCCAACCATCTCATCCTCTTGTCGTCCCCGTCTCCTCATGCCCTCAATCTTTCCCAGCATCAGGGTCTTTTCCAATGAGTCAGCTCTTTGCATCAGGTGGCCAAACTATTGGAAGTTCCAGCTTCAGCATCAGTCCTTCCAATGAACACCCAGGACTGATCTTTAGGATGGACTGGTTGGCTCAATAAAAGTTGTCCGAAAGCAGTAGCCTCTCACCTCAACATCTTTTGCTTGGCTGGTTTTGTTTTGTTTTGTTGGCTGAGAAAGGCTCCTGACGCCGCGCCGAACCCCAGCGTGGAAGAACCCGGCAAACATCAAAGACTACAAGTCCCAAGCTGCCTTGCGGGTGGCGTCACGCGCCGCGAGGCCCTGCGAGGAGACGTGGCAGAGCGCGGCGCGTCCGCACCGGACCGGAAAGCTCGGGGAGGCGGCCGTGGCGGGAGGGTCGGAGTCATGGCGGCCAAGACGGCGGGTGGTGGGCACTGGGAGGTGGTGAAGAAGGGGCGGCGGCCTGGGGCCGGCGGCAGTGGTAAAGGCGGCGGAGGGGACCGCCGGGCGCTCGGGGAGGCGAATGGAGTGTGGAAGTACGACCTGACCCGTGAGTACCCACCCGGCCCGCCGCCCCCTGTAGCCCTCGCCCGGCCCCGGGTCTGCCCCCCACCTCCCCACCCGGTGTGATAGCGAGCAGCTACCGGGGCCCAGAGGGTCCAAACACCCCTGGGCTCCTGGAGTCGCGAGCTCTCCTGCCGATCGGTACCTTCCAGTTCAGCCGGCGCTCCCCTGGCGTTTCTCTTGACCCTCACAAGAGGTAGACAGCGCGAGGGAGGTTGCCGTCCTGGCCATTCACATGAGTAAAGTGAGGCCCAGCGAAGTTAGACGCCTTCCCCAAGATCACTTGTTAGAGGGGACCGGGATTCCGGTCTTCGGACGCTCAGCAGACTGCACACACTACCTGCCAGCTGTTCCCGGGCCCTATAGCCTGGCCTCGCCGGGCAGGTGTCCGAGAGCTGCGGAGGGGCAGTCTGGTTCATCATACACTGGGCCCCCGCCTTAAGTAACCAGCATGTATGGGGTGGGCATGGGGGCCGGGAAGCTCATGAGGCCCGGCAGTGGGAGAAAATGATCCACCACACACATCTCCACACCCATCAAGTGTTATTCCAAGCGGTGCCTGTTTCCTCAAAGCCTCCTGGAGGAGCAGAGAAAGCTTGCCACTTGTTGATTATAGAGTTGTCACATCAGAACCAAGAGGAACTGGGGTAGAACCAAGATGGGAAAACCTTGATCTCCCAGACTGGTAGCCACTCAACAAAGAAGCCAGCCCTCTTTGTTGGACACCACCCACTCACCCAATTTTCCCATACTCTTGATTTCCTAATAAAGAAATGGCTCGTCTCTGAAAAAGCCCATGAACTCAAGAGTTGTGGTAGCTGAAAGAAGCCACCAGGAGGGCTCCTTAAGTAGGATGCAAGAAAGGGCTTTGAGGCAGGCTCCTCCCTGATTAATTAAGTGCCAGTGTGTGGGGAGGGACCACTATTTCTGTGAGGCCCTCCTGATTCAGGGCTGCCCCCCTTTCTCTGCCTGTCATTACCCCAGCTCCAATCCAGACGACAAGCACCCTGTATGAGCGGGGCTTTGAGAAAATCATGAAGCGGCAGAATAAGGAGCAGGTTCCACCTCCTGCTGTGGAACCTAAGAAACCGGGGAACAAGAAGCAGGCTAAGAAGGTGGCGACCCTCACCAACCAGAACCAGAAGCAGGGCCGCTTTCGCAGCCTGGAGGAGGCACTGAAAGCTGTGAGTGTGCCGAGACTTTAGGCAGGGGAAGAATGAGGACCCGAGGAGTAGAGAGGATGAAAGAAGTGGGACAGGGACGGGCTGCTGAGGGACCTGTGGGATGAGGGACACTGCTGACTGAGAGGAGGCCTTCAGGAAAGGATGGAAACCCAAAGGGATGCAGTGTCTGCACTTAGGATAGAGAGGGAATGAGTTTATAGAGAACCATAGATTAGTGAGAGGAAAACCTTGAAAATCCAGAGATACACAGAGGGTTTAGAAAAATTGCTTGTGGTTCCTCCCGCCAAGGAAGGAGTGATCTTTCACTTTCCATCTTGTCTTCTCTTTTACCCCTTGAACAAGTGAGGGGCCCAAGAGTATTAGTTCTTGAGATCAGCAGTTACAACTGTCTTGTTCTCTAGTTCCTGAAGATCTGGATGCAGCAAAAGTATGGCATTCCACATACTTGCATCGAAAAGCAGAAACCCTTTGTTTTTCCTGCCACCACCTAGTTCAACTATTTCCCCACTTCTTCCCCATTACTCTACACCCACAACTCACCATGAGGGACCTATGTTCCTGGCAGCTGGACCTGGCAGCTCTGCAGAAGGAACTGGACAAGAGCCAGAGCGTGTTCTCTGGGAACCCATCCGTGTGGTTGAAGGACCTGGCCAGCTATCTCAACTACAAGCTCCAAGTACCTCCAAGTGAACCCACACTTAGCCAGCATCCTCACGGTTAGTTCTCCAGACGAGTTGAAGAAAATTCTGAAAGGGCTGTATGTAAGTGCATTACTTAGTAACTGAGCCCCATGCCCCCCACTGCCCTGACTTACTTGGGTGATTTGAGCTGTCCTCAGATTAGCATGGCTTCAAAGTTTCTGGGCCTCATTGAAATAGGGGGGATGCCAGCCACAGTGCAGTGACCTCTGCCTTCACTTACAGTTCTCAGGAAGCAAAGCAGAGGCCTCAGAGCTAGCAGAGGCTTCTGGTGCTAGCTCTTATGTGAGGCCTATCGACCCCAGATTATCCCTACAGCCTGGTGAGCCGGGAGCTGCGTGGCATCATCCGAGGGCTACTGGCAAAGGCTGCAGGATCCCTGGAGCTCTTTTTTGACCACTGTCTATTCACCATGCTACAAGAACTGGATAAGACTCCAGGTGAGAGGGTCCCGTGAGAATTAGGCCAGTCCCATCTTGGGAACCTATCCCCCTTTCCTGCTTCTAGAGTAACTGAAGAGGTTCTGTTTTAGCAGAGGAACATGCTAATTCCAGCACTCTTGGAAAAGAAGGCGGATGCTAGGATTCCCTGGGCCTGGGTTCTGGGCTCTCAGCTGTTGAAAGGGAGATTACAGGTTTGGGGTGCTGATTAGTACATGTGGGTCTGAGAATGTGTATCTCCAGGGGAGTCACTGCATGGTTACCGCATCTGTATCCAGGCCATTCTGCAAGACAAGCCCAAGATTGTCACCACGAACCTAAGCAAGGTGAGCTCAGGGTTGTGATGGGGCCATCGGGAGGCCAGGACTGGGGAGACTGAGCAGAATCGACTCTGTTGAACCCAATTAAGGGATGCGGGAGGTCTTGTAAGACAAGTAGTAGTAGCTAACGCCGTTAGCACTATGTATATATATGAGGTAGGTGCTGCTATTCCCATTTCGTAGATGAGAAGATTGAGCCACAGAGGGGGTCACCGTTACTTTGTAGAGTTGGTCAACTAGTACGTGATAAGTGTGAGTGAAGACCAGAGCCTGGTGCCAGAGCCTGTGCTCTGAGTCACTTCACCACACTACCACACTGCTCCCTTGTCCTCTCCCAGTTGAATTCTGTCTTACTCCTTGGCTTTGGGGGTGCTCCTGGTGCTTTGCCCTTTCCCAACCTGCCTCCCTCACTGGTCTCTCCAGTTCCTGGAACTGCTGAGGTCCCACCAGAGCCGACCAGCCAAGTGTCTGACCATCATGTGGGCCCTGGGTCAAGCAGGTTTTACCAACCTCACTGAGGGACTGAGAGGTAAAAGAAAGAAAGAGGTTTTGGAGCTGGAAGTTCCTCTTTAATGTCCCCAGTGGGTCCAGGCTTGAGGCTACCTTCCTGACCTTTGTCTCCACAGTGTGGCTGGGGATTATGCTACCTGTGCTGGGCATCAAGTCTCTGTCTCCCTTCGCCATTGCATACCTGGACCGGCTGCTTCTGTGAGTAATAGGGGGTGAAGGGAAGCAGCAGGCCCGGGGTGTTTTTAGGTAGCTATTTCAAACAAAATGGGATGCTGTGATCCTGGTTTCATAGATGTGAAGGAGCATCAGGACCAGTTCCTCCCAAGTCAGAAAGTGGTGGTGAAGAAGGAAAGGAAGGGAGCCAGGAAGTGGGGCGGGGGGTTGGGGGGTGGAATGGAGTGGAGTTTATGCCCTTTTTCTTAGATGTTCTTAGCTGGGACTGTAGCCAGGGCAGGTGTTCCCCAACAAGCCTGTTTCTTTCCTCCCCAACAGGATGCACCCCAACCTCACCAAGGGCTTTGGCATGATTGGCCCCAAGGACCTCTTCCCACTTCTGGACTTTGCCTATATGCCCAACAACTCCTTGACTTCCAGGTAGGACTGTCCCGGGACACAACCTGCTGTGAAGGACCCCAGCAGAGGGTTAGGACACTATATCTGTCCCTTCACCTCCCACCACCCTCAGTCGAAGATTATCAACCCTCACGTTCACGGGATCATCGAACCCCTGAAAGAATTACATGGGCCCTCAACGGTGATTGGCCTGTGGGCATTTTCTGGGCAGGGGACCCATGACTCTGAGCAGATTTTCCAAGAAGTCTCTGAGTCTAGAAAATGCAGAACCATTACAAGGCCCTTTATGACCACCAGCTTGGGCAGGGTGTGAACTTTGCAGCAGATACAAGTGACACAGCACACAGCCAGTTAGAGTCTATGCTCAGCTCTCCTCTCAACCCCCTCCACAGCCTGCAGGAGCAGCTGTGCCAGCTGTACCCACGACTAAAGGTGCTGGCATTTGGGGCAAAGCCGGAATCCACGCTACATACCTACTTCCCCTCCTTCCTGTCCAGAGCCACCCCTAGCTGCCCTCCGGAGATGAAGAGAGAGGTGAGGAACTGGTGGAAGGTGCCTTTCTTTCTGGGGTCTGTTGGGAGGTCCCTCTCTGCTGACAGGCTCTGCCACTGGGAGCCTGTTTTCTCCCCTTTCCGCCCCCTCCCCAGCTTGGTCCCAGTAGCCCACTGCTGGCTCCCTTATGCTTCACCCTCAGAAGAATGGCGCTGAAAAGGCAGCCTGTTCAGATCTGACCAGTCTCTCATGGTCCCTTGCAGACAAGTGAATTTTGATCTCAGGAGCCCCTTCCTCCCCTTTACAGCCTCTTGGAGATTTTGAGGGTATGGGCACAATTTCTCTGCCCTTCAGGGTGGAGTGCTGCCTGGGGGGCCCCACTTGGCACTAACTAGGAGGGGGAGTTAACTCTTAGCACTCCCCACCATAGCCCGGGGCCCAGCGGTCTCTCCCTTCTATCTCCTGTGCAGCTCCTGAGAAGCCTGACTGAGTGCCTGATGGTGGACCCGCTCAGCACCAGTGTCTGGCGGCAGCTCTATCCCAAGCACCTGTCACAGTCCAGGCAGGTTGGGGGGTGGGGGTCACCTGCCTCCAATTTACACAGAGAAACCTTAATTCACTCTTCATGATGTGTCCTGTCCGAAAGCAGAAGGGGGATGTTTGTCACTGTTGTTCAGGCTCATACCTGTGGGAGCTTTGCAGGGAGGCTTCCAGGAAGCTGTTCCTCTGTGAGGGTGGGGGACGGGGCATGGAGGGTCTTTCAGCCTGAAGGAGCTGGGGCCCAGGGACGATGGGAGGGGCCAGGTAGGCCTCCTGATGGGAAAGGATTGTGCTTTCCTCACAGCCTGCTGCTGGAGCACCTGCTCAGGTCCTGGGAGCGGATTCCCAAGAAGGTGAGGAGCTGGGGAGACATGGCAGGCTGAGTTCTGGGTTCGTACCCTCCGCCACTGGCCCCACTTTCTGGGAAGGCGCTCCATTAGCACTTCTGGTGTGGAATGTGAAGCAGAATGGAGGCTCAGGGTTCCCTCTTGGGCTAAATCTTAATGTTCTCAGCCTAGACTTTTCTTACTCTGCAGACACAGAAGTCATTGCAAGAAACCATTCAGTCCTTCAAGCTTACCAACCAGGATCTGCTGAGGAAGGGCAGCGGTAGCAGTCAGGATGTCGTCACCTGTGACTCGGCCTGCAAGGTGCCAGTGCCCAGCCCACTGCCCTTGCCTCCCACCACCATCCACACACTGTTTTCCTCGCAGTCTCTGCACACCCTGAGTTGGACCTGTATAACATTCCTGTCCCACCTGCCGCTGGAGCCCCCACCACCTCTGGAGTAGTGTGAGGGCTGGATCCTCTCTGTGGAAGGCCTAGCTTGAGGCCTGCCTTAGGAGGCCAGAGCCAGCCCCTTTCCCTTCTGACCACTGCTCCCTGCCCCTTCTCCTTCTAGAGTCTATTGCAGCAGGCTCGGGGCTTCCGGCTGCCCTGGGCACGGCTACTCCTGTTGGTGCTGGTCTTTGCTGTAGGTTTCCTGTGCCATGACTTCCGGTCACACAGCTCTTTCCAGGGTAAGCAGGAATTGGCTGGCAAAGGAGATGGCCAGGGGCTTTTTCTGGGGACACGGAGCTGGACGTACCACTCCCCACCCCCACACACATTCCAGAACACATTTTCTGACAGATGTATCTGTGCTTTGCATTATAGAAATGCTTGCATATTCATGGTCTCATTTGACTAGTGTTATCTTGTCTTTAATTTCTGAGGAAATTGAGGCTCAGAAAGATTTACCAGTTAGCATAAGATCACAGCTAGGAAGTAGAAAGGCTGACCCTCAAACCCGAGGTTTCCTGATGCCCAAGTCCACGGCTCCACCTGGCTGCGCCCTTCTTGCTCCCCTGGCCTGCATCCCTCCCTCCACACGTGCTCCAGAGCAGACTGAAGCCGGCTCTGTGACCCTGTGAGCATGTCCAGTTCTGCCCCATCCCTCACTAGGCCTGCTCTGGGGCCTGTAGTGCCTGCCTCCCCGGTCCCTGCCCCGCTCACCTCCCCACTCACCTGAGGCCCCCTCTCCGCAGCCTCCCTTTCTGGCCGGCTGCTTCAGTCATCTGGTGTCTTGCCTGCTGGCCAACAGGCATGCACCAAGATCTACTCCTACAGCCTGCAGGGCTACAGGTGAGAACTCCAGGGGTGGGGGTGGGGAGACCTAGTGGGGAGAGAGAGGCGGGGGAGTGAGAGGGCTTGCCTGTTCAGGGTGGTGATGGCATTGACAATCAATGGGAAGCCGCTGTGGTTTTCCTTTCCCAAGGCCTCCCTTGCCCCAGCTGTTCTTAGGCCAACCTGCTTGGGAGACTCAAGATACCTTCTTCCTCCCCTGTGTCTCCCCTACAGCTGGCTGGAGGAGACATTGCCAGCCTGGGGCTCCCACCTGCTGACCGTGGTGAGGCCTGGCTTGCAGCTGGCCTGGGCCCACACCAATGCCACCATCGGCTTCCTTTCTGCCCACTGTGCCTCACACCTTGCCTGGTTTGGTGACAGCCTCATCAGCCTCTTGCAGAGGGTAAGCCAGAGACAGGGAGGTCAGAGAAGGCTGGTCTCGCTGGATGGCTGTGTTCTTGGGAAGGTGCAGCCCCACGTGGACTGCCTTCCCTGTCGTTCTGACACGTCCATTCTTCACGGTCCAGCTACAGACCCAGCTCCCTGACGCCCTGAACCAGCTGCTCCGTTCTCTGAGGGAGCTGCTCCTGTTTCTTTACCACAGCATCCTGCTGCCCACGTGGCACATGCTGCTTGAGGCCCTGGCCCAGATCCAAGAGCACTGCCACGAGGCATGCAGGTGAGGCCCTACCCCAGGGCCCCAGTAGGAGGCCGTGGCCCCAGGCCCTTTCTCCAGGGACAAAACTCCCCTTTCGGTTTTCTCGCTCTGTCCTGCCCCCTGCACATCCCTTGGGCACTTTGAGATCCGTGTTGTGAGTCTGAGCTACAGCTCTTTGACTTGACACAGCTGCACATCACAACTTCCCAACCCCCAAAATGTCTGCTTTCCTCCCAGAGGCGAGGTGACTTGGGACTGCGTGAAGACACAGCTCAGTGAGGCTGCCCACTGGACCTGGCTCAGCCTACAGGACACCACAGTGGCTTTCTTGGACTGGGCACTTGCCATGATATCCCAGCAGTAGGCCCTGCCTCCCTGGCCGCTGGGCTCTGTCTGGAGCAGACCATTGGAGACTGCTGGGGCAGAGAGCAGCAGTTCTGCAGGGGCGTCTTTGTTACTTGGTGCCTGAGTTCTGTCTCCTCAGCAAGTGGTGGGCTGCCCCTGCCTCAGTTCTTCCGCTTTGGTGGCAGCGAGCCCAGAGGTATCTCAGCCTCTGACCCACGACTCCACTGACCACTGCTCTGCCCGACTGCACATGGCTCCCAGCCTCTGTCCTTGGGCCTGGTAGCCTCTCTTGTCTCTGCTCTCCACTTCCTTCTGTCTCATTCTTGAAGCCTCAAACAGCTCATCTTGAAAAGGTGGACTCAGCAAATGGCTTCTGCATTCTTCTGACAATTGATTCCTGCTCCCAGACCTTAACCACAGCAGAAAAAAGAAAGGGACTTCTAGAAGAATCTAGAAGAATGTAGCACCACAGTGGGCGGCAACAACTTTGTCTCTCCCCACAGTCTGGGTGTGGCTGTCCGTGGACATGGAGGCCTGGGTGGAGAGGCCTCTCACCTCAAAATGTTCAACCTAGGTCCTTCAAGGCTCCTACTGGCCCTGCCATCATGGTCCTTCACCCTTGCTCTCTGTCCCCCTTCAGTGCTGGGGGGTCTCGACCTCCGTATTCAGCCCAGGTCATCATGTGCCACAGGCCCAGGAAACCATCCAGCAACCTGTTGAGACAGGACACAGTATGTGGTTTGTGGGTATGCCCACTTGATGGAAATAAAGGACACAGATTTGATTTCTAGTTTTCCTCTGTGCCTCTTCATACAGAAATTTCTACAGTTGTGGACAAGACGACAAAATGTGAGCTCTTGCACATTCTTTGGCCCCCTGCCCTCCCAAAGGTTGTAGCCTCTGGCCACAGTTGAGCTTCTGGCAAGAAAAGCCTGCTTCCATCATTCTGAAGTTTGGCCTGTCAAGCGTTCTAGACACCCTACTTACTCACTATGGTCTCACTTGTCCTTGTGATTCATGTCCCAAGATTGCCTTGGTAGCTTGAGGATTATATGCCTGGAAAAGACAGGGAGAGTGTCCTAGAGGAATTCTTGGCCAGCAATCAGAGGATGTCTCCTTCCTTGCCAGGACCTTCATTTATTAATTGGTTCATTTTATAGGCAATGAGTGAAAGATTCAGAACTCCAAGAGACATATGAGTCAAGGGTTTATCACCCATGTCCCTTCTAATTTTTGACTTGAGACTATAATAAGTCAGCTAACTGTATGGGATTTTCAGCTCTCACCTCAAGTTTCTTTCCTTGAGTGTTTAAAGAATATAAACAGTACTAGAGGTGCACCACCCACTTCAGCGTCCATGGGCTGAGTTCTGTTTCTATCACAAACACCTGAGATGACTAGCAGGGGTGATGGCCAGCTGCCACTTTCCCTTTCACAGGCAGCCCTGAGGTGCTGCCTCCATTTTTCAGCCCCAGGATTATAAAGTAGCAAGCATAGCAAAATCTTGACACAAAGTGAGGTCGTGAGGACTGTAACATCTCCCTTTCCTTATTAGGATGTAAATTACCACACTGGGCAGAAGCCTGCTTTTGTAGTAGCAGTCAGCCATGACCATTTTTTCCCAGGAAAAAGAAACCCCACCTCACAAAGGACCAAAGTGTAGGCCTGCTAGCATGACTGTCCACAGGTCTCCAGACATGTTCCATTGCTTCAGTTCTCTACCTAAAATCAGTTACAGATGGGTTCAATTCTTGAGTGAATCCTAGTAACTGGCCTGAATTCAAGGCAAATTGAAGAAAATGAGCTGGTATGAGCTTGGGTTGGCACCAGTGCAGGGCCAGTAAAATGGTGACACTGCCCTACAATGACATCAAGCCCAACCAAGGCTGCCGGACTGGACTTGCGATCCAGCGACTCAGAATCCCACTTACAAGTGCTTCCTTGGTTTCTAACGTATACTACTACCTTAATGGGTTCATCTAATTTCTAACATGTAATCCTGGGATGCAACATTTTTCTTTAACTCAGCTTAACTGGGGTCTCCACAGCCTCTCACAGGGACACTACTGACACCTCAAGCGGCATTATTTGATAGATACCTGATACTGGAATGGTCAGAATGTTTCCTCTACCCACTGCACCTGCTATCCATGAAAGCTAGATCAGACATGTAGATATTTCACTTTAGCACAACTCTACAGGAATCCAAGCTGAGCCAGTTAGCTGAACCAGTATAGACTGGTGGAGCACACTGACGCTGACAGGCGGGCGTCACACGACTGGTGTTACTGGAAGTCGACTGACATCTTGAAGGTCACTTCTAGACACTACTTTTCACACACAGCTGGAGTTCTACAGATAACACATCATGTAACTGAAGGGTAGTTTGAGTATTATCTCTTACTAGCTTTAGTTACTAGTTTTTGTACGGACTTGCATATTATATCTCAACACTTCTCTCCATTTTTTTGAGTCTCAATGCATATTTTTGGTTTCCTTTGGCTGCTTGTATCCTGTCTACAGCTTCAGCTTTAGAGCAGGGTGGGTGGAGGGGGAGCCTGTCTTAATATGGATAGATAATGTTGCTGGACTCATGCCTGTAGCGTTGCCAGCCTGTTCCCAAATGCCATCATTCTCAGAATGGAGCATTTCCCACAGAGACAGGCATACCTGCTCCACCTTATTCCAGAGTGACCCAGTTGTCAATTATACAGATATTTCAATGGTTGGATGACCTCTGAGCATTTTAATATGTCTTATCTCTCCTGAAGGAGTTTGGATTTAAGTGAACACTTAAAAGTGATGAATTCTCATTGTTAGTTGCCTTCCTGGTTCTGCTCCCAAAAGGACTTGAGGGTACAAAGGACCTTGCTTTTCTCTATCTGGTGTTCCATTCTTAACCAGTGGTTTCATTGCCCAGACCTGAGGTATAAGAAAGAATTTTCACCATTCAGTGTATGAGCAAATACCTATTGAATATTTTACCTATTAGAATTAGGAGTTGAGAAATGTTGGATATGCCTCAGTATAATATTTTTACTATTTTAGTACACAAGTTATTAATTTTTAATAATTTTTTTACAGCAGTTTTAAGTTCACATCAAAATTCAGCAAAAAGCACCATATCGTTGCCCCTGCACTTCAGTTTCCCCCACTGTCAACATCAGTGAACCTATACTGACACATCAGTATCACCTAACACTATCACCTGAAGTCTGTAGTTTACCTTAATGATACTTTGTATGATTTAAATCTTTTTAAATTTATTAAGACATTACCTAATATGTGGGCTATCCTAGAGAATATTCCATATACTCTTGAGAAGAATATGTATTCTGCTGTTGTTGGAGGGAATGGTCTGATTGGTAGGCTGGTCAAAGCCTCTGATGCCTTATTGAGCTTATAATAAACACATTATTGAATTATGAATTCACATTATGAATTATTGAATCCAATTACAAATCAGTAAGAAAAGCACTAAGCAACAATAAAAATATGGATGAAAGATACTTCATAAAAGAAATGCAAATGAACAATAGACTTGGGAGGAAAAGTCCATTTCACTGCCAAAGAGATGCAAATTTAAAATAAGATACCACTTATTTTTGCCTATCATGTTGACAAAAAAATTTTTTTAAGTGATTTACTCAGTGAATGCTATGATAGAAACTGGTATAATGTTTCTAGGAAGTAATTTAGTAACACTTGTCAAAAGCCTATAAAGTTTAATATTACTTTACCAAGTAGTTTCACTCCTACAAATATATTCTAGACGATAGAGAAGTAAATAGAAATGTGAACAAAGATTTACATATAACAACATTTATTGTAGCAGTATTAATCATGAAAATTTTGGATATAAACTGTCCAACAATAAGATGAATATTTCAATAAATTTTAGTAAAAAGCAGATGAGAAATGGCTAGTCAAAGGGTGATTTAAAAAACTTTAATGACAGAAAATTGCTTATTATTAATTGAGCTCAACTTATTGAAACATGGGCTACAATAAAAAATACAGAAAATAATTGTTGACAAGGATGTGGTGAAATTGGCACCCTCTTACATTGGTGGTGGGAATGTAAAATTGTTAAACAGTTGTGGAAAACAGTTTGGCAGTTCCTCAAAGAGTTAAACATACAAATAGCATAAAACTCAGCAGTTCCATTCCTGAGTGTTCCCAAGACAAATGAAAACATACATCCACACAGAAACTTGTACACAAATGTTTGTAGCACTATGATTCATAAAAGCCAAAAGGTGGGAAAAGACATAAACAGAAGAATGGACACTCAAAACATGAGTGAAAGAAATCAAGCACGAAAGGTCACATATTTTATTGTTTTATGTGAGATCTCCAGAATAAGGTAAATCTGTGGAGACAGAAAGCCAATTAGTCGTTGCCAGGGGTTGGGTGAAATGCGGACGGGAGTACTTACTTTCAGGGTTAACGGGTGTTCTTCCAGAGTGAGAAAAAAAGTTTTTCAACCAGAGAGAGGCTGAACAACCTATGTTGCACAACACTATGAATGTACTAAACATCACTGAATTGTTCATACTTTAAAATAGTTAGTTATATGTTATGTGAATTTTGCTCAAAAGCAAAAGCCCTAAACAACATAATTAAACACATTCTGCTTTCCGACCCTACCTTCCCGCAAGAAAGAGAGCGTGGTAAACACCTCTCCAAGAAAACCACCCCGAGCTAATGTTCTCTGACACAATGGTAGGTAGCGTTTGCAGCAGCAGAATGAAGTTAAATCAATGGGAAGATGTTAACCTGTTTTGTGGATGCCCACAGGCATCCCGGTGTGTGTTTGGTAACAACACAAACCTCGGATTTCAAACCATTCAGTATCATGGTAATCCAAGTCTATGCCCAGACCAGTAACGCTGAAGAAGCTGAGGATGAACAGTTCTATGAAAACCTACAAGACCTTCTAGAATTAACACCCAAAAAAGATGTCCTTTTCCTTATGAAAAAAAGAAAGTGAAAGTGAAGCTGCTCAGTCGTGTCAGACTCTTTGCGACCCCATGGACTGTAGCCTACAAGGCTCCTCCGTCTATGGGATTTTCCAGGCAAGAATACTGGAGTGAGTTGCCATTTCCTTCTCCATCTTTCTCCTTACAGGGGACTGGAATGCAAAAGTAGGAAGTCAAGGGGAGGGAGGTGGGAGGGGGGATCAGGATGGGGAATACATGTAAATCTATGGCTGATTCATGTCAATGTATGGCAAAAACCACTACAATATGTAAAGTAATTAACCTCTAACTAATGAAAATAAATGGGAAAAAAAAAGGAAGTCAAGAAACATCTGGAATAACAGGCAAATTTGGCCTTGGAGTACAGAATGAAGCAGGGCAAAGGCTCATAGAGTTTTTCCAAGAGAACACACTTGTCATAGCAAACACCCTCTTCCAACAACACAAGAGAAGACTCTACACATGGACATCACCAGATGGTCGACACCAGAATCAGATTGATTATATTCTTGGCAGCCAAAGATGCAGAAGCTTTATACAGTCAGCAAAAACAAGATCAGGTGCTGACTGTGGCTCAGATCATGAACTCCTTATTGCCAAATTCAGACTTAAACTGAAGAAAGTAGGGAAAACCACTAGACCATTCAGGTATGACCTATATCAAATCCCTTATGACTATACAGTGGAAGTGAGAAATAGATTTAAGGGACTAGATCTGATGGAGTGCCTGATGAACTATGGATGGAGGTTCGTGACATTGTACAGGAGACAGGAATCAAGACCATCCCCAAGAAAAAGAAATGTAAAA